AATTGGTTTCGAGCACTATGCTTCCTCCATAGGTTTTTTTTTTAACAATTTATAACCTCTAAAGACATAGAAGCCAAAGTATGAAAACGCCAAAGCGTCGCACGCTTTCTTAGCGAAATGAGTCAAAAATCCTGATCAGTCAGGCCTCCATCAGATGGCTCAGATTGGTTGGAATATTTGATTTATCAACTAATTTTCTATCGGAAAAATTGCAAACTGTATTTCCTAGTTAGAATTTGTCCCACATTACTAACCTGTTAAAAATGTGGAGTAAAAAATCGGACTTTTATCCATAAATTTTGAACATTTCTGCACGTGTGCAACCTTTTTTCTTCTGCAGTTCTTACAGAAGTGTAGGCAAATGTGGCAACTTGCGGCAATTGTTCGGCAGCTCAACGAAACGTTTGCGAACTTGAACGAGCTTTCTGCTAAACACAAGCGCGAACAAACCAAGCACTGGTGGAGAGTTCATCAATTTATCAAAGGTTTTTCAATTGGTTTCGAGCACTATGGTTCCTCCATAGGGTTTTTTTTAACAATTTATAACCTCTAAAGACATAGAAGTCAAAATATGAACATGCCAAAGCCTCAAATGCTTTCTCAGCGAAATAAGTAAAAAATCCTGATCAGTCAAGCCTCTGTCAGACGCTTTGGATGGAATATTTGATTTATCAGCTAATTTTCTATCGGAAAAATTGCAAATTGTATTTTCTAGTTATAATTTGTTACACATTTCTAACCTGTAAAAAGATGAAGAGAAAAATCGGCGTTTTATCCAGAAATGTTGAACATTTATGCACGTTTTCAACCCTTTTTATTCTGCAGTTCTTACAGAAGTTTAGGCAAATGTAGCAACCTCTGGCCATTGTTCAGCAGCTCAACGAAACGTTTGCGAACTTGAACGAGCATTCTGCTAAACACAAGCGCGAACAAACCGAGCACTGGTGGAGAGTTAATCAATTTATCGAAGGTTTTTCAATTGGTTTCGAGCACTATGGTTCCTCCATAGGGGTTTTTAACAATTTATAACCTCTAAAGACATAGAAGCCAAAATGTGAAAACCTTAAAGCCTCAAACGAAATAAGCCAAATATCCTGATCAGTTAGACCTCCGTCAGACCCCTAACCTTTAAAAAGAGGGAATCAAAATGATCGCCCTTTCGAAAAAGGAAAACCTTTTCGAAGTTTGCTAGCTTGAACATCTAACAACAATTTACAAACTTTGAACTCCCGAAAAGACTTGAAAATTGATCAGTTTAGGCGGAAACTTTGGGCAATTGTTCGGGGGCGAATGAAACAAGCCTTCCGCTGAATACACGGCTATTTCATGTTGATCCACTTTGAAGCAAATTTATGATTCTAGGAATCCTGGCGAGTATGTTGGAAACACTTTTGGCTCCCAACGCAACTATTTTGACCATCTGATGCCTTACAATCCATATTTTCCTGGTTATCAGTCTCCGCAATGGCCAAACTTAGTCTACCCTCAGTTTGCGCCCGGATGCTCCAGAGCCCTGGACACTGCTGGATTTGGAGGACATCCTTCGGATCCCAGCCAGATTTATTACCCTCATGTTTATCCCTATCCCTCCTATCCACTGGTTTATCCATACCACAATGGAAGAACGAGTTCGGAATAAGTAAGTTTAGGTCTGGCAACATCAGATGAAAAGGAAGGGAAACATTTTTTCGGCCAGTTTTTTCCCAGTTGGTGTCAGCTTGGGTAAAGGTCGATGTGTTTTTTCAAGCTTCCAGTTCATTTTAGATGGTTCAGGCCGCCACTACCATTGTAGACCTTATTCTAATATACGGTGGCTTACACGATGAAGTTGTTCATTTAGTTATAGTTTCCATTAATAAAGTTCGGACAATTGACTACATCTTACCTCTGCAAGCTTATCGAATCTAGCGAACAGTTCATTGAGCATTTTCACCAATTCTTGAGCGGAATACGTGGAAGAAATGGCGGTGAATCCGACAATGTCCGCATAGAGGATGCTGCAAGAACAGCGATAAGTTAGCGGTTTCGATGGAGCCTTTTTGGGCAAAGCTTACCTAACGTTTTCGTGGCGGCTCATGTAGATTTTCTTAAACTGGCTATCGGCTTGATCCAAATCCTTCCTCATCTGCACAGCCACATGCTCTGGCAACACCGAGAGCAGCAGCCTTTCCTTTGAAAGCAAGAATACCGTGCATTTTTCAAAAGGATTTTTTATATGCATTGGAAGTGTAGAATTCGAGGTTTTGTATGAAAAATGGTCTAGTTTGGCACCTGGCGGAGGTTTTTGTGGTGGTAAAAAGTCTGTTTTAGCCCATGGGGCCCAGGGATCATAAGGGATTTTCCTGCGTTTTTTTGCACAAAACTGAACGATTTTGCCCATTAATTGCCTCTATTTTGCCGGCTATTTTTATACCGGATGTACACTTTATTTGAAGATTTTGTTATTGTTTCCGATCAGGATCGATTGGTTTCAATTTCCGGGTGGAATTTTGCATTTCTGTTGGCCTGCATCATGCACATTTTTTATAAGAAATACCGAGAAAACACCGTGTTTGTGTAGAAATTGCCGTTTTTCATCAAATTTAATTCACACACCAGCAGAGAATCAGGGGCCAATTTATCTCAAGATTTGTATGGACAACCGATTAACCTCTCAACATTTCTCCACTAAGGTGAAGAACTGTTCTTGTGCCTGAGTGTAGGCCTGGGTAACTCAGCGAATTTTTAGGAGTTAACGCAGTGCTACGCAAATGGCTTGATGCGCCAACTCAACGCACCGGCACAGTAACTCAGCTCAGTTGCTGGAAAAATGTTGATGCCTTTTTTTTACTTGCTTGTAGATTTGTTTTAAAGGGCATTTATTAATAATATTTTCTAAATGTCTTCAAATTTCAGAATTTTCCAGTTTTGGCCAAGTTACTTTTTCTTTATTAATTATGAAATAAATTTCGAATCCTTCGTCGCTTTGTAAGAAGTTTTGAAATCTTTTTCCAGCTTAGAATTTGGAACAAAAATCGAATTTTCTATGAAAAATGAACAGAATCAGCGAAAGTTTATAACAGATTGTAGAGTTTGTTAAAAAAATGTGTTTTTTTTAGATTTGACTGATTTTTCTTTGCTTTACTTTCTACTGAAAAACGCTCTATTTTGTACAGGACAAAAACGGAAATGTTTTTTATGTTTGAAAATGTTTTCGATGAAAAACCCCGTTTTTCATCGAAAATCATTAAGGTTTTCTCCAAAATCGATCACAAAACTACAAGTTTTTAATTGGAAGCGCAAAAAATCATTATTTTCTGGTGATTTTCTTCTTTTCTGACAATAATGGGGTCTTTTCAGCCAAAAATTAAAAAATTAATTTTGCTAAAAAATTCGCCTCATTCATCGGTTTGCATCAAAATTTAGAAAACCCATTTCAGCTTCGAATTTGGCACAAAAACCAAATAATTTTCTTCAGTTTTTTACCGAAATTAATTGTGATTCTCTTGAAAAAACGACCAGAGAGCAAAAGTTTCAAAGATTTTTTTGGAAAATTCGCCACCTTCATCGCTCTGAAGATTTCAGGTCATTCCAGTTTTAGCAAAGTTTCTATTAAGCAATTCTTTCTACGCAAAAATAGCATTATTTTTTAGTTTTACTCAAAATACTGGCAATCTTCAGGTATGTTCTGAGAAAAATTATAAGATAAATTTTATTGAAACACTCGCCTTCTTAACCGCTTTGCAAAAATGTTTGGAAAACTTTTTGCAGCCTCGAATTATGGACAAAACCCTAATAATTAATTATGGGTCTTTTTCCAAAAATATTTCCCCGAACTGAAAAAGTGAAAGTTTATAATCATTTATTTGGAAAACTCTGGGAAACTGGGGTTTCTTCACTTTTATGTCAATATTTCGAAACAACATCGTCTTTAAACAGAAAAACCTTGTTCCTAACGTTTTGATGTAAAATACTGGCAAAGGAATCTTTTATGCAAACAAATTAAGAGATGGATTTTACAAGAAAACTCGTCGAATTTCTTTAGACTCAGTTCTGTTGCTGGGAAAATCTAGATGACTTTTTTGAGTTGTTTCAACAAAGTAGGTAGTAAAATATTACTCAGAAAAAATGTTGATGATCTTTCTTTAAATGTGAAAATTCCAGTCTTGGATCTCGTAAAGCATTAATAAATAACTTATTAACCTATGAGTTAGCGCTCTCAACTCAATAGCGCAACTCAAAGTGTTACCCAGGCCTATTTGAGTTCGACGCAGGTAAATAATCGGTGCGAAACTCTTGTGAATTTTTAGGAAAAACAATTTTCTGGCAAATTTGATGCAATACTAGTTTTAGTAGTTGTGAAAGCAACTTGTCGAAATGGAGAAAACTCCTGAAATTAGCCGCTAAACATCTGAAGTTCCAAGTCGGACAGATTTCCTTAATAATTACTTAACAAAATTAATAACAAAAACTGCATACAATTCAACAAAAAAACGTGAAAATTTAGCAAAAACGACCTGAAATTGCGCAGCCCAATCAAGTGAAAGACAAATGTATTCCGGGACGAAATTGCTCAGAAAATTAGATCTGAAAAACTGTATGTTTTCATTGCTCTGAGCCCTTAACATAAATTAAAAAAATGAAAAGTTGCCTTTAATGGGAATTTAATCATCAGGGACTCTTTAGGTTCAATAAACGTAGCGAATTCGATAGCGAACGCTTGCGAGAGTTCGCGACTGCTTTTGGTTCTTTTAATACTCAAGACGATTTATAGCGGCTTGGAGGAGATTTCTTGATTATTAGTTTTAAATATTGACGCGATTCAAGAGAAAACCCTTCAAAGATTATACTTTAAAGCCTACAGGTGTTGTAGAAACTTCAAATTTAGTTTCCAACAACTGTAAATTCGAAAACTTCTAATGCAAGCTTTTATTAAGAAAAAGTGTTGGTGAAACCCCCGGCTATTGATGGTGAAACTTCTGAAAAAATTATGATTTTTGAAATATCGGGAGAATGGTACGATGTATTGGATGGCACCCTGTAGGTATATTTTTTGAGAATATCGTTCTGAATCAACAAGCTAATATAATAGCTTTAGTTAAAAGCAAATATTTAGAAAGTGGTCCGAAAAACAAATTAAAAACTTCTTCAAATACACCATTCGATACACGCATGAGCCTAAAAAAATGCTAAACCTTTCAAGTTCCGGATTGTCCAAAAATTGGTCACAATCCGCAAAAATCCGGTTCTCATTGAGCATAAAATGCCCATTGTGCGCCTGATCTGAGTTTTGTTTACATTTGCGGCTACTTTCTCAATAAAAAAAAGTGAATCATTCAGACGAGTAAACCGGTAAAAGGACGATTATCATGTTTGTACTGTTCAAATCGCCAGATTTTTTTGCAAAACTCGCAAATATTTGATGTATTACATGCGAGGATCGAGCTAACTTGTCAGTTTCTTTGCGTGTCTTGCCAGTCGTGGTCATATTTAGTCGAAACATTGGCCTTTTGGTGCCGAAAAGTAAAAAAGTGTTGTTTGGTTTATTTATCTAAAGTGAACTTTTGGTGCTCGTAAATCACATCCGATATGGAAATGGTCCAGGATGGAGCCCCAGCATGCAGACACCTGGTAAGATAGGTCACTAATATACAGGGTTCCCGAAAAAATGTAGGCATTTTGCAAAAACACGTTTTTTTGAGAGCAGTTTGGATCAGATATTTCACGCCTTTTTTACATTTCAATTTCAATGGAGCTTAGAATTATTTCCTGGACACTAAACACCTTTTTTGTTTCCAGGTGACGCGATGCAGCTTTCGGTAAGTTTGGCTTTACATTTTTCCTAGCAGATCGATTTTATCTGAATTCTTTATTGCGCTCTTTGAATTTCTTGCTTTAATAACGAACAGCAAGCATGTAAAACAAGCGTCGATTTTGTGTGAATTTCAGTTTCTGTTGTCTTGGAAGGTAATTTTCTGCATTTATTGGTATTTTCTTCTGTGTGCATTCTCAATAGCGATTTGTTCGATTTTCGAAAACAACATTTTTCACTCTGGTTTTCTACCTTTACTATTTAATTTAGTACTACATCTTCTTCTAAATTGCGATATCGATTTTTTCGTGCCTGACATTTATTAATATTTTGCGACTTATCTTTTATTTTAACTTGGAATCTTCAAAGCTCGATATAAAACAACCGTAAATTTGGTTCCTCTTCCATCAGCAGCTTAGCCATAATAAGTATCTAAACTTTGACTTCATCGGCCGCTTTTTTCAATGTACGTTTTTCATGATCTCGATGATGGAAAAATTGATAGCCAACGCTAGTGAGAGTTTGCGATTGTTTTTGGATTTTTTTTATAATAAATTTTAAAAATAGACGACTTGCAGAGATAACAGGTACAAATGGGTTTTTAGAGCCAAATGTTGCCAAGAACAACTTTTTCGATTGGAAGCTTCTTGTTCGAAAAATAAAACGTGAAAATCCATAAAATTCCGTTTCTCGCGCCGCATAATTTTGTGCTGCAAAAACCGCAAAATGCCCACAAAATCGACTAATTTTACCTCAATCAACATGTTTCGCTTATTTCGTCATATTCAAGGGTAATTTGGTTCCATTGAAGTTCACAATCTTGTTACATTTGAGCCCCAAATGCGGAAATTTGGTTCGAAATCCGAAAACTTCCATTAACTCGCTTAATAGGCRAAAATATAATTTTCCAATTTTTATTTATTTTTTGAGATACTTTTTATGATTTTTGGCTTTGGAGATACTTTGGCTTTTTTTAAGCCACATTTAATTTTTTTGTCAAAAACACTCTTTCTAGTGTCTTGGAARAAAGTAGYCCTGGATCGCCTGGATATTTTACAGAGAGCAAACTTTTTCGSTAAAAAGTTTYGTTTGGGACAAAAAAATWAAAATGTTAAAATCGAGTAAAATCMATTGGTGAACGTTAAATATTTGGATGCAAAAACAAAMAYTTTCGTTCCCACATTYAGGGCATCTTTTATGGATAAAACAAGCGAAATTGCCATCAGTTTGTCCAAGTGGGTTGGTTTGTTTCGGCAGAAATTGCAGAGATGAGCTAAGAARGAAAGCTTTGCAAACGTTTTCAAAAAGTTTAAGGCTTCTTCAAAATTTCAGGTTTCCAGTTTTAACTAAGTTTTTATTAAGCAATTCTTTCCACGCGAAAAACGCATTATTTATAAGTTTGCCTTAAAAACATTGATACTCTTAAGCTGTTTTCCGGGAAAATCTACAACTGAAATTTTACTGCCACTCTCGCTTCTTTAACCGCATTTTAAAAAAAATTCTAGAACCTTTTGCAGCTTGGAATCTTGGACAAAACCCCAATCTTTCGTGCATTTTTTCCCAAAAATATTAAATTTCGAAATAATTGATATTAAATATATTTAATATCAATTATTTGGAAAACTCGTCACCTTCGTCGCTGTGAATAATTTGTTTTTCTTCACTTTTTCACAGTTCAATTCAGGTTTCTTCACTTTTAAGTCAATATTTCTAAATAAAACTAGCATTTAGCGCCTTTTTTCCAACGTTTTACTGTGCATAAAAATTAGCAGATCGATTTTACAAAAAAAAACAGTTTGGTCTTCTTGATCGTCTTTTTCGAATACCCGTTTTAGCTTCTTATTTTGTTGTTTTAACTTCTGTTGTCTTTTAAAAAAAAAATAAGGTTTTCCCAAAAAACGATCAGAAGAAGCAAAAGCATATAATTAAGAAAAATAACAAAATCTCTTTGGAAAACTTGTCACCGTTTTAGGCCAAATAATTTTTCAATCAACCAAGCAATCGTTTCTCCAGAAAAGGTGATTCAGTGCATTTTGACGAGTTAGCGCAGTGCTGCGCAAATGGCTTTGTGTGCCAACTCAACGCACCGGCGCAGTAACTCAGTGCCGTTGCTGGTAAAACGTTACTCATAAAAAATGTTGATGACAAAGGCAAAGTTTTTCGCTGAAAAGCTTTGTTTGAAAGAGAAAAAAAGAAAAAAACGAAAAAATTTTCGTTTCCATATTCAGGGCGTCTTTTATAGATCAAACAACTTGTACAACAGAACACTTGGTTTGGGTTAGTAAAAGTTAAAAAGAAAGTTAAATCTTCAAAGGTCCATTGAACAATAAATTTTCCACAAAATTGAATAATTTTACTTCAATTAACGATCTTCGGCGGTTTATTCAGATTTCCTGCCAATGTCCAGTGGAGATATTTTTTTAAGTTTGGCTCGAGCACCATGAGAAAAAATCCCAGAAGCCCACTTATCAGTTGCCTATTTTTTGGACTTTTTCGAAAATTACTTACAGCGGACCCTGAGCAAAATGTTCATTAGGGAGCCTCTGGTTGGCCGGATGTTTTATCAATTTTTCAGAATTGTTTCCGATGGGAGATTTGGTTTTAGCGAAAAAATTAACATGTGAAAATCTGTTCAACAACCGATAAAATTGGTTGTCAATAAATATTTTCCAGGTTTTTCCATTAAACTGTTTTTTCCTCAGTGACTGTTTCATTTCTCAATTTTGCTGTCAATTCGAAGCACTGGCGGGGATAAGAAAAAATTTCCCATTCGAGCATCAGGAGAAGGAAATTTGGCTCTAAATGCTTAGAAAACTAGTAGCTTTCCAGAAAATCTCAATACCACTTGTATGCACGTTGACTCGCTCTATGCTTTGTTTTTGCCATTAATATTGAGCCCTTGGAAAAATTCGGATAAGTAACTCATGATAGCCTCAAGAGACTTATCAAGAACCTTCTTTTTTGAAATACTGCTCAGTTTTCAAGCAAAAAAATGGGAAAATCTGGGAATGTGTGCAGGCTTAACCAGATTTCATCGGTTAAAACACCTTATCGTCGAAACACATGTGGGTTTGTGTGTTTCGGAGACAATTTATCGCAAAATGTTTAAAACGTGCAAAACAAGTGAAAAATGACAAATAGATAACACAGTAATCAGGCGACAAATGGCAATCAAAGAGCGAAAACCGAAACGCAAATGCAAAATACCGTAAAATATTCTGCCGAAAACTATTTTAAAAATGACAATTTTTGATCTTCCCCTGTATCTCTTAAGGTAGCAAAAAGGTTCAGTTTTAACACACCCTGTACATACTATAAAGAATCATATAAAAATAAAGCGTTTTAACCGAAAAAAGTCTTACCTGCTCAGCGCTTTGCTCTTCAATCACCAGCTTGACCTCCAAAGACTGTCTTGTTTCCAAGAAGGTTCTTCTCTGCTGTTCGTCTTCGGCTGTATAAGCAACGGTGGCAAGAACTTTGGCTACTACCAGCAAAATTCCGGTGGCTCCCAACTATAAAGAAACATAATCATTTTTTCCATTTGGTCGAAGTTTCCACAAATTCACTTCCGCATTTAAATGCCCCCAAATATGGAGACTCACTCAGCTCGGAATTTCTGTTAAAAAAGTCGAAATCCATCCCGCCATGAATTTATTAATGCAAAAGCAACACATGAGGCGATTTTTCTAAATTAGAAACTTTTAACGGTGTGTATGTGTGTCTCAGATGCGATTTGAAAGGCTTTCAAGTCGTGTAGCTGGGACAGATTTCCGATCGATCCCCGTTGAACTTTCGACCTTCTGCTGGAACTTTCATTAGGTGTTTGCTGTAATTGTAGGGCTCTTGGGGTCTTGTGAAGAAGCCTGTGATTTTCTGCAAATTTTCTTTATTTTCGTTCAAAATTGACCTCGATAGGGCAAGGGAAAGTAGAGTAAAAAGATCGTAAATTGGTCAAAAAAACCCAATAAGATTAATTTTTTGCTCTGGTCGGTTTGGTCAGACTCCACTCTTCCATGAAGAAAAAAATTTCGTCTGTGATTCACTTATTTTTTTGAGGCGTAAACGTTTGTTTGGAACCTACTTTCATGTGCCTACAATAAGATGTTTGAATTTATCCCATAGGGTCTCCCTCATCTTTGGGATTCTTCTCCTGTAGACTTGTGAACTTGTTATTTGCTTCTTCTCGAAAATGTCCACTATCAGGGTTTTTCACTTTGGCATCGTTGATTTATCAACTTCATTGTGTTCAGAGGAAGTAAAAGTGAAAGAAAACGAAAAACCTTTGAAATAATTTTCGCGGATTTGCTATGAACTTGGAACTTAAAAAAAAACTTTCTTAAACCTCCAACTGCAAAACAGCCTCCAAACGATCTTGCAAGCATTGAAAACTGATTTGTGATTGAACTGAGCGCGTTTGCTTTGGCCACTCAATTAAACTAATTCTAGAGCTTTTTAATGCAAATTTTCTGTTCGAGAGAACGTGGTTATTAATGCCGATGCAGGCAAGTAGCCCATTGCACCCTTACGAGAGCGCATCAGTTATTATTCCAGCTACCATTAAATGGAAAGGTCATCTAAATTTATTCATGAGAACCGAGCTTTGCCATAATGGAAACTCAGCTCTCCTGAATAATTAAAGCGTCGGCTTAAGCAGCCCATATTTTATTAAGCGGTGCTTGTTTTAACTGCCAACTTGCAGTTTTCTACACCGAATGCTTCTATATCTGGATGTTTAAATCTATTCGGACAAGTGCTTTTGCTGTGTTGAGCCCTTTGGGCACGCCCCTGCTAAAAGAACAACAAACTACATGGTTCTTTGCACAACAAATACATTAGAGTCTTCTGGATGTCGGAATCTACTTCGACATCGATTAGGCTCTAATAAAATTGTGGTAGTTTGCATTTAGACCAGTTGAAATGGACTCGCTCTCAAAAAGAGATCTTTGTATCGAGTAGAAGCTGATGACGTGGCTCTCCAAATCACCCGATCTAACGCCTTTAGATTTTTATGGGTGGGGGCACCTAAAAAACATTGTGCCTGAAAATATGTAAAAACACGCGGGAATTTAAATGGCTGTAAAGCTGAATGAAGTTCAAATGCTGAAGGCGATAGATTTGGGTGCAACAGTGTGTTAATAATTTTGAAAAATTTAGTGGCTCGACAGATGAGACCAAAAATTCGCGTCAGCCACAGTACAATGTGTACAAAATTTGATGCAAAAGAGGTTTTAAATATCATATTTTTCAAATGTTGACACCCTGTATCTTTTTTGGGGGAAAGTCTGTGACCTCGGTTTTTTTTACTGAAAATCTGAATTATTTTTAACTGTCAAGCCTGTACCTGCTTCTATAGATTTTAGACAAGTGCCGGTAAAAATTTTCTAATAGAAAACTTTCAGTAACCGGTAAGGACCACATGGAAAACGTTGCTGAAATTCCAACTTTAAGAAAAAGTTGTAAAATAAATTTTATTAGAACACTCGCCTTCGTCGTCGCATTGAAAAAAGTTTCTTAAGCCCTTTCCAGCTTCGAATTTCGGGCAAAAATCGAAAAAACTTTTATCGAAAACCGATTAGAATAAGCGGGTTTGCAATAAGTTTTTGGGAAAATTCGTCACCCGCATCCCTCTGAAGACGGTAGAGTTTGTCGAAAAACTCTGTTTTTTTAGTTTAACTGAATTTGTTTCTTGCTTAACTGTCTACTCAAAAACGCCCTATTTTGTAGAGTTTTTGTAGGAATTTTACAAAAACTTTTTTCAGTCTTGGATTCGGGACAAAAACGATAATAAATTGGTCCCGTTTTCTCCCGCAAATTATTAAGGTTTTCTGAAAAATCGATTACAAAACTAAAAGTGTTTCATGAAATGCGCAAAAATATAATTCGCCTCATTCATCGCTTTGCAGGGAATTTTGGAAAATCCTTTTTAGCTTCGAATTTGGCACAAAAACACAAATAATTTTATTTAGTTTTTTTTAGCGATAGTAATAAAGATTATCTTGAAAAAACGACCAGCTAGCACAAGTTTACAAAAAATTGTTTCGAAAATTTGACACCCTCTTTGCTCTGAAGATTTTTGAAGTTTCTTCAAAATTTAAGGCCTCCAGTCTTTAGGCCTCTAGAAAAATTCAGTCAAACTAAAAAACATATTTTTTTGACAAAGTGGAGTCTTCAGAGGGATCCGAGTGATAAAAATCTTATTTTTTTCGAAAAAAAAAAGACAACAGAAGTTTGTTTCGATTTTATAAGGAGTTTGGAGGCAGTTTACAAAAACTTTTTTTAGTCTCGGATTCGGGACAAAAACGGATTATTGAAACACTCGCCTCCTTCGTCGCTTTGTAAAAAGGTTTGAAATCCTTTTCCAGCTTCGAATTTGGGGCAACAATTTAATATTTTTTATCGAAAAACGAACAGAATAAGCGAGTTTGCAATCACTCTTTGAGTTTTTTTAGTTTAACTGATTTTTTTTCTTGCTTTACTTTCTACTCAAAAACGCTCTATTTTGTAGAGTTTCACTTAAAAATACTGATTATCTGGAAGATTTTTGTATGAATTTTACAAAAACTCTTTTCAGTCTCGGACGCGGGACAAAAACGAAAATAAATTTGTCACGTTTTCTCCCGAAAATCATGAAGGTTTTTTCAAAAATCGTTAACAAAGCTAAGTGTTTAGTGAAATGCGCAAAAATATAATTCGCCTCATTCATCGCTTTGCAGGGAATTTTAGAAAATCCTTTTTAGCTTTGAATTTGGCACAAAAACCAAATAATTTTATTTAGTTTTTTTAGCGAAAATTCGACAACCTCTTCGCTCTGAATGTTTTTAATGTTTCTTCAAAATTTCAAGTCCCCAGTTTTAGCAAAGTTTTTATTAATGAATTTTTTCTACGCAAAAAACGCATTATTTCCCCCAAGTTTCCCATAAAAATATTGAAAATCTTCAGCTGTTTTCTGTGAAAAACTATAACTCAAACTTTATTGACACTCGCCTCTTTAACCGCATTGTAAAATATATTCTAGAATCTTTTGCAGCTTCGTATTTTGGACAAAACCTTAATCATTTTTCGTGAATTTTTCCCCAAAAATATTTTCCCGAACAAAACAGGACAAAGTTTATAATCAATTATTTGCAAAACTCGTCACCTTCGTCGCTTTGCATGATTTCTTTTTATTCAAGTTTCTTCACTTTTAAGTCAATATTTCTAAACAAAATCCTACCTAAACAGAAAAACGTTTTATTGGGCATTTTCATGTATAAAACTAGGCCGTCGTCTTTATAGTCTTTATAGCCTTCTTGATCATCTTTTTCGAATACCCGTTTTAGCTTTGAATTTAGGATAAAATCAAAACAAACTTCTATTCCCTTTTTGCCGAAGAAAATACATTTTTTTAAGTTTTTTTTTCAAAATTTAAGGTCTCCAGTTTTTGCAAAGTTTTTATTAAGCAATTGTTTCTACGCAAAAATACGCATTGTTTCCAAGTCTTACTTAAAAGCATTGATTATTTTCAAAAATTACAACTAAAATTTCACTGATAGCCTCTTTAACCGCATTGTAAAAGTTTTTCTAGTATCTTTTGCAGCTTTGAATGTTGGACAAAGCCCTAATCAATTTTTCGTGGATTTTTCCCAAAAATATTTCCCCGAACAGAACAGAAGAAAGTTTATAATCAATTATTATTAGGTGACGAAAACTCGCCACCTTCGCCGCTGTGAAGAATTTGTGTTTTTTTTAAGTCAGGTCTCTTTACTTTCAAGTAAATATTCCTAAACAAAATACTCTCTAAACAGAAAAACGCCCTTTTCCTAACGTTTTACCGTGCATTTTTATGTATCAAAATTAAGAGATCGATTTTACAAGAAAACTAGTCGTCTTTATAGTTTCGTCTTATTGAGCGTCTTTTTCGTATACTCGTTTTCCTTTCAATTTAGGATAAAATCGAAACAAACTTCTATTGTCTTTTTTTCCGAAAAAATACAGTTTTTAAAGTTTCTTCAAAATTTAAGGTCTCCAGTTTTAGCAAAGGTTTTAATAAGCAATTGTTTCTACGCAAAAGACGCAGTATTTCGAAGTTTTACTTAAAAGCTTTGATTATTTTCAGCTGTTTTCTGTGAAAAATTACTACTAAAATTTTACTGATACTCGCCTCTCTAACAGCATTGTAAAATGTTTTCTAGTATCTTTTGTAGCTTCGAGTTTTGGACAAAACCCTAATAATTTTTGGTGAATTTTTCCCGAAAAGATTTCTCCAAACAGAACAGGAAAAAGTTTATAATCAATTATTTGTAAAACTCGTCACCTTCGTCGCTGTAAATAATTTGTTTTTTTTTTTAAGTCAGATTTGTTCACTTTCAAGTCAATATTTCTAACAAAACTCGCTAAACAGAAAAACGGCTTTTTCCTAACATTTTACTGTGCATTTTTATGCATACAAATTAAGACATCGATTTCACAAGAAAACTCGTCGTCTTTACAGTTTGGTCTTCTTGATCGTCTTTTTCGAGTACCTACTTT